GTGTGTGTGTGTGTGTGTGTGTGTGTGTGTGTGTGTGTGTGTGTGTGCACCTAATCAACCTCTTTAGCAGGAGTGGAACTTGATGAGTCACTTTCATTAGACCTAATCGGGATCGATATGTGATTAAAGGATAGTTCGTGAAAGCAAGCTGGGAGGGCAGCATGGGGGAGGACCTGGGCGATGAATGGAACTCTTGATGGCCTCCTTGTGATCACAGTAATCCCTTTCTTCTTTTTAGACGCCGTCCGCTACATCCCCCACAGTGGTGAGTAGAACTTTCATCACCAATTTAGGGGCTGGGCTGCAACTAACAATTAGTTTCATTAGTGATCAATCTGTGGACTGTGGTGATATGATCTAAAAACGACTATATATCACAATATATTGTCGTTTACCTTAATGATAAACATGATTATAACCTTTTTTTTAAATAAAATAATCCAATGCATTGTATTTCCTTACTTGTGTTGGCTCACTTCTGATGTTTCTTTTCTTCTTTACAGTGTGGAATTGGATTTGCGATGCTGCAGGTATATGAAAAACCATGAGCAATCAAATCCTGTCTGATCCTCGTTATAATCTGTTATCAGATTTGTAATATGCTCCCCTCCCCGGTCTGTAACAGAGGACGTCACTCTGGACTCTGACTCGGCCAACGCAGACCTGCTCATCTCTGGTGACGACAAGCGCATGCGCTACGGCCTGGAGCGGCGTGAGGTCCCGCGATGCCGGCGCCGCTTCGACGGCTGGTGGTGCGCCGCGGGCCGGGAGGGCTACGCCTCCGGACGCCACTACTGGGAGGTGGAGGTGGGCGAGCGGGACTGGCGGCTGGGCGTGGCCAAGGTATCCGCGAAGAGGCAGGGCTTCCGCTCGCTCACCACCGACACGGGCTACCTGACGCTGCGGCTGGAGAGGGGCATGGATCTTAAAGCCCTGACGGTGCCCGCCGCCCCGCTGCCGCGGAGCCTGGTGCCCCGGAGAGTAGGGGTGTACCTGGACTATGAGCTGGGCCAGCTGTCCTTCTACGACGCGGAGAAGCGCTCCCACCTGTACACCTACAACGAGAAGTTCACAGAGGAACTGTACCCCGTGTTCGGCACTGTGGAGGTGGTCAAAGACCTGGTGATAAGGCCTGCGGACGTCAGACAGCCGTGCCTCTGCCCCGGGCCCTGCCTCTGGAACTGAACCGCTCAACACACACACACACACACACACACATAACGTCCTCAGTCCTGATCCTCAGCAGCCCGCAGAGTCTGTGCTTTTATTCTGGTCCGGTGTCGTGATTTTTGAACCTCATGTACTGGTTCTGGACTCAAGGTCGGACTCCTCCTGCAGGGGTCACCGTGTGAGGTCACACAGGGACGAGAACCACCATCATTCTGCACTTTCTGTTACTCTGCTTTCATGGAGACACACAGTGTTTGACTATTTGTATTGTACGGATGAAAAGTCTTTTCCTCACTGTCCAATGAGCTTTGAGAGGGTTTAGAAGCCATCAACCCAAAAGTTCTCATACCCACAATGCAGATATGGATGTTTTTTTAATTACTTTTTTTAATTACCTAAAGCTGAAACTTGCAAACTAGCTTCACAAATGTTATAAAAGCATGACGGCACTGTGATAGGATGTGCCACCAGCTACATAGAGCTTCAGTGCAGTGAAACGGTGGGCTTGCTAACGTGCAACAGGCAGATAATTACAGACTGGGTTGATGCATGCGATGAGTTAAGTCTCGCTCTGTTTGCTTCTTTGTCTCCTGTATTATTAAGATGCCCCCCCCAAAGAAAATAAATGAAATGCAAATGCTCCAACTTGTCGTCAGTGGTCACAGATGCAGATCTAGAGAACCAATCAAATGTTCAACAAATGTATTTGTTTCAAATCTTTATTCTGCAATAAAAGTGATACAAAAAAAAGTATGTGCTCAGATGCTTAAAGGTAAGTGATACATGTTGATCAAAAGTACATGAATACTTAATTTTTGGAGAGAGGTTCATCCACTTATCCACATCAGGGTTTTTCTAACAAACATTTCCTCTCAAAATATGTTTTGCAAAAGCCTTCTCAACTAAATGTGGAGCCAAAATACGGCAGGACTTGCATTGAAGCAAATACAATCTTTCTGTCTTTTCGTAACCATTTTTCTAAAATATCAAGATCTCATTGTTCGAATGTTGATCCATCAAAAAATGCGAAATACAATGGCCTTGCAGAGTAAAGAAGCATATAAAAAGAATCAACTTGAAGCAGTGTATACCACGTTGTTAAGTATAAAATATCTTACGAAATGCAAAAAAAACATGAGAAACATGTTACATCTAATGGATTTCTTAACGTGTGTGTATTGTAAAATCGTTCTTGTCAGTAAGGAAATGTGCATATAGATGACTAACACAAGCACCAACCTGTGTTTGAGAGAATATCTCTATATTTGGCATTACATTTAACGTCAGTCTGCTTAAGTAAACATCTTAAAAAGTATTAAATATGCTTGGAACATGTTTTTTTTTTTTAAATCACACTTTAATATAATACAAATCTATGAACAAAAGTCCCAAATCCACCACTTTTATGTTTTCTCTTGATCACTCAGGATAACACCACTCAGGTGAAAATATGATGGACCTCATGAAACATCCACAACGATTTCAAGACAATCTCTCCTACACCTCGAGAAGACGGGGAAGTTGAAATTTGGTGGGTTTCACCTGAAACAGTCAACACACCTCTTACAGACAGGTGGAGGATGGGAGACAAGGGGCCAAGGTCACTCTGGATTACTGAACCACAGCCAGATTACTGGCCCGTGCTGGCCCCGATTTAAAGGTGTGTGACAGAGGGGCGGAGTCTAAAACTAAATTATTTGTTTAGTCAGTGAAACTCTACTTACGATACAGAGACGACCATTCTCCAATTCAAATACATTGATTAACAATGGGATATTTTGTTGTACTTTTAACAAAAAAAAGGTGCCAGAGTGGATTAAAAAAAGCATCAAAATAGACAAATAGAGCTTGTTTATAAAAAAAAGTGTTTATTAACTGGTCCCTGACCTATTGTGCTTTTGCAAAAGTGGCCCCGGGCAAAGCACGTTGAGTGTGGAAAGAAACCTAAATGAAATACATCAGACGCAACCGTGAAAATGAATGTAAATGTTAAAATCATCCTCATCAATGGAGGAAAGTGGCCATGGTTTGTAACAGATATGAGCGAGCGCCCTCCTCTCCGTCTATTTATTACATGAAATTGTTTTTTGGGTTACAGAATCTACGCACGCATATAAAAACATACACAGATTCGCGCATGAGTACTCTGAAGCCGACTCTTTTTGAAAGAGAATCTCAGGTACGGTTCGTCATCGTGGTGGACCTTTGGCTGCTGAATTTTGCACGTCGTTAAATAAGACCTTACGATTCATAAAACATCTTCTTTGTGACCGTGGTTCCTCCCATCATGCTCCGCTGAACCACTTCCTTGGTGACTTGACGGGTCACCATGCCGCTGGTCTCCGTGTGCTGTGTGGTCATCATCGACCCATCTGTTAGAAAAGAGCAGTTGGTATTAAAGTGTGAATAGATTTTATTTGTGTTTTTAAAGGGGGACAGAGCTGAAACTGAAGCTTAGTTTGTACCTGAGAAGAAAGGGTCCTGCATCATGGTGTGGGAGACGTTGGTCCGCGTACTGACTTCTGTTGGCATTTGGAAAACTTCCCTCCTCGACATTGATTGGCTGTTGTACTGAGACAAATCACCTACATGGAGCGAGGGATGAAATTAATACTTAGAATATTGTTAGCTAAATCATCACAAAAATAATGGCCTCATTTCTACAACATTTGCTGTTGAAATTCATGGTTCCCAGAGGATGAACCTTAAGGTTTTTGGTGCCCCTTAGCTGTTAAAGTGTGTGCAGCATTCAGGGGATCTCTCAGCAGAAATGGAATACAACAGTCATAGCTATCTTTTCATCAGTGTATAAACACTTGAAACTAAGTTGTGTTTTCGATCTTAGAATGAGCCCTTCATATCCACAAAGGGAGCAGGTCATCTTCACGGAGTCTACTGTGTCACACCGCCATGTTTCTACGGTAGCCCAGAACGGACAAACCAAACACTGAATCTACAGAGAACCTTTCGTGTTATAACATTACTTAAAGGCCACCATAGTTCTCAGACACACTTGTGAAACTGCAGTAACGCGAGCCACAGAGGGCAAAACCGTGGTACCGCCAGCCGCCTCGTGACTACCGTTGCTCATAAAATCGTGATATATTGGCGAGGACGGCCTCTGAGGGAGACAAACGCCATCATCAGGGTTTTGCACTAGCCGGCTCAAGTTAGCGCAGTCTTGTAAAGGGAGGAGTGAGCGGAGGGGTATTCAGTTGGTTGCAGTCTGCAACCTCACCACTAGATGCCACCAAATCATTCACACTGTCCCTTTAAGTACCATACTCTGGTCACTTCGGCAGATATTTTACACAAGATGTTAGAATCGAATGGCCTGATTTTCGTCAAACTTGTTGCAAATATTGATGATCCCCAAGATGTTTTCTCTGGTGCTAACATCAGGTTCAAACTTTCCAATTACACATTAATTAACACATTAAGGTCCCCGAGTATGAAGGCAAATCACTGTCAAAATCCGAGAGCGCAAATGAGATCCATGTGCTCGCGAAAATCAAACAGCCGCGCGCGTATTTTACTTTGACAAGCTCTTTTACGTCACTCCGCGAGCAAAATTCACTCTCACGCGAGCAGAATTCACGCGAGCAGAATTCACGCTCGCGAAGCTTAAATCCGCTCGCTCGCGAAACTACAACCCGCTCGCTCGCGAGTCTTTTTCCTGCTGGCTCACGAGTCTTTTTGACAGTAAGTGGGCGGACCCAGTCGCCATTGTATCTCTGCATCCAATTGGTTACAATCCTCGTCTTGGGATAAACCGGATATCACTCTTTGCTCTTTGCTCGCGCGAGAGTGAATTCTGCTCGCGGAGTGACGTAAAAGCGCTCGTCAAAGTAAAATACGCACGCGGCTGTTTGATTTTAGCGCGTGCATGGACCTCATTTGCGCTCTCGGATTTTGACAGTGATTTGCCTTCATACCCGAGAGGATGAACACTTTCCATTTTCAACACTCTACAAGCTCTGCTCTAGCGTCCCTGTGCTGATGATGTCCCATAGTTTAATACATTCATGCTCCCACGGGAACCATCTTGTTTTAGGACCCTATGGTCTTTCCTCTAGCGCCATCACAAGGACACGGTTTGCGATTCCATTCCAACTACATTTACGACCTAAGAAACAAAGTACATCAGCATGGTCGGCATGTCGTATTGTGAGGTGTAATTAACATTTCAGACTCCAGCAGTCCCTATTGGGAGTTTTTAGATGAATCTGTATCAAAAGCTTTGTCGGTAGGATTCATCTTACTTCCATCCTGAGACTCGATGGTGATGATGCCCTCCCTCTCAGGACCGAAGCCCTGGGTGGTTCGAGCCTGAACTTTAAACTTGTAGGGAACGTTCTCAGTCAGGTTTGGGACGGTCAGACTGGTCTCAGCACTGTCCCCGCTCACTTCGAAGGAACGTACGTCTCCTGGAGGAAACAAGAAACAAGGGTCAGAAAATAATATAATTTCACAACAAGGATTTATGGGAACCTAGAAAATGCACAAACCAACTATATAAACATATATCGTTTCTTTCTTTCCAGACAGCCTCACCTCCATCATGCAGCTGTTCGCAGGTGACTACATATCCCAGGATGTCTCCGTTGGGTTTACGGGGTTTCTCCCAGCTGAGCTGCAGGGAATCGGGGCTCAGTGCGGTGAAGACCAGGGGGCCCGGGGCACTGGGAGTGCTTAGAGTAAATGGCGAGCCTACGGGGAAAGACGAAACAGAGAACAGAATAAAAAGAGAGATCTGAAATGACATAAAAGCAGTCACCATGTTGAGAAGTTGTGAGACAAAAATCCACAGAATCGGTACCTGGCATCGGGCTGAGGGGACTCTTGGGGTCGACAGCGGACTCGATGGTGATGACCCCCTCTCTCTCTGGACCCCAGCCCTCCTGGCTCTGAGCCTTCACCTTAAATAGGTAGGAGTGGTTGGGCAGCAGGTCCTGGATGATTACAGAGTTCTCTGCTGGGTTCGTCACATTAATACGCTTCCCCTCACCTACAGGAGAGGACATCAGTTGTTTAGCGTCAGCATTAAATGCTCAAAAAACATATTTATAAAAAGATTCAAATGAAGTTTATTCATTCTATCCTAAAGCAGCAAAATGTAAGTTCCTTATTACAGAAACGATGAAAACAAATGGTCCTTGCAGGGGTTCATTTACCTCCACTGAGCAGCTGGTAGAGGACACAGTAGCCCATGATGTCTTTGTCACAGCGGGGCTCCTGCCAGCTGACTTTGAGGGCAGTGGGACCGAGAGCAGAAAACACCAGTCTGCTAGGGGTGTCAGGTACACCCGGAGACAGTCGAGCATCTGATGGATCAAGAGGTGAAAGGACAGGGATGTATAGATTGAACCTATTCATACAAATGGCACTTTGCAATACTTCTGACCCTTTTCCAAAGCATTTTGTTTTCTTTGATTGTTTGAACAATGTGTGTAAGCCCTGAGGGGCAAGAGAGGAAAAAAATAATAATTCCGTTGATCCATTTTTAGTCCAAGTCTGATCTAAATTGTTTTCTTTGAGCAGGGAGGAAGAAAACATGAATGCTTTTAGTTCTCTAGTGGTGGTTATGCACTTGAGCCTCGTGTGACCAAAATAAATATTACACTAACAAACACTTTATAAAAAAATTATCCGGACAACAAAAAAATGTTTCACATGCCAAAAAAATTGATGTATAAAGAATATCCTGTCAAAAAAAGTTTTTCACCCGTTTTAAGTCATAAACTCAGGAGGGAAAACAATTTAGATTGGATTTAGAGAATTCTTTTTTGTCCTCTCTTGACTCTCAGGACTTCCGTAACAATGAGATGAAAGATACTTTGCTTATCATTGTCCGTGGGTTCCTCATTACAAGCGACCCCTTTCACATTAGACACAGTCGTTTGATCCGTTGTTAATACAAAGTCAGTGATTAGTGCAGCTTTAAGAAATAACCATATTAACTTAGCTTTTGGACAACGACCATATTCGCCTGCTTTTTTCGGTTTAACTTGTCGACTACATAGCTGAACGCTTTGCTTTCATTGGCCTACTCTCAAATCTCTAATGTCACAGCATACAGGTTTTCTACCCCACTGAATTATCATATAATGTAACAAAACTTGGATTCAAAAAAGAAACAAATGACAATCTAAAAAGCAGAGAATCAACTGAAAACATGGTTTGGCCTGAAAAATGGTTGCCAGTATTGTAAAAATGAGTGATTTGTTGTGTCAAAAACACATAAAACAGCAAGGTGAGATCTTTAAAGAGGAGATCAGGGAGGGTGACAAAGTATGAGACCAACACAGAGGTGGGAATAAAGATGACTGAGGAGGAGTCGCATTAGGCGTCACACCCAGCAAACACACCCAGTGCCTTCATGCTTGTGTTGCCACAGACTCACCATGGAGCACCCTGTCCAGATTAGAGAGGGCGTCATTGACTTCTGAAGACTCGGTCCTGGCCCTCGGGCCCGTAGACAGGTTGTAGCTGAACTGGCTCTGAGAGCTGCTCTGCATCCCAGCGTAGCCGAACCCACCTGATGGCGCATTGAGCAGGGGAGGGGGCGAAGGAGGAGGACGAAGGGGGGGGGGGGTAACGAGAAGAGGCACAGGAGATGAAGGAAGTGGCCCAGTAGGAGAGAGAGGTGGGCAGGTCGGGAGTGAAGTAAAGACAGACGTAGAGTAACACAAACAGAGCAGAGTTGAGACAAGGTGAGGGAGGGAGAAACAGCGATAGTCAGCAGAGATCCTGCAGTGTGGATAAGCCTGCTGTGCAGCCAACAGCCCCAACCCTGCTAACAGACCTCCAAGCCGTCGGCCTCATGTGCTTGCAGTTTACCTGCCGAGGTGTCTCAACTATTGCACTCCAGAGTAACATCTTTCTTGGGCTCATCTAACGTTTACTTTGGGATAAATTCAAACCCCTGCGGAGGTCCGAAGCTTACCTAGATCTGGGAACTTGCTTGACACGTCTCCCATGATGATGGAGTCTCGGATGTTTTCATCTCCGTAGCCCCTGTCCGAGCGCTTCCTCATGACCACCTCTGACGTGTGGACTCCTCCGATCATGTCAGTTCTGCGAGAGCCTCCTGCCAGAGGAGAGACGGATCAAAGATAAAGACAAATAAAATCTTGACCTTTTGTCCACGTTTTTCTCGATGTAGTTGCTGCCGTCCCTACCTGACATGTAGGTGGTGGATGTGTCGGTGATAAAGGAGCCGCCTGCCCCTTTGTAGTTTGAGTTCATGGTGGACATTGGAGAGGACGAGGAAGACAAGTTGCGTGTCGCTGATCCCCCTGGGAAAAGGAAGTTCTGGTCCCATTTCCCATTCATCATGTAATCTGTGAAACACCACAACAGGAGCCAGGAGAGTCAACAGACAGAATATAGGAAAATTTAGCAGTTAGCATTCGAGCATTCTGACGCTGATTGGAACAAAACAGGGCCATTGATGTCAAGCACCCAAAAACCAGGCTCGGCCAAATCTATAGAGGAAGCACCAGCAGCTTGAGACCTGTAGCTCTCAGTCCTACTTGTGCCACTTACAGAAACAGCAGCAACATTTTAGACTGGCAGATGTGTGCCGTCTACAGGCCAGGAAAGTAGTAGCTTCTGGAATTGTGTCGATGGTGCCACCTGCAGCCAATGAGTGTTACAAATGCAGGTATTTTTCTTTCTTTTCGCAGCTGCTGAACTGTTCGGCTCATCTGTTGTTTTAGTAGAACTGTCACTATTTCTCCACATAATTTAAACTTTGCACTTACTACTCTTGTGGGTCATAGATGGTTGGAGAGGAACAGTCATTTAAATTAATAACTAAGAGTCTATATCCACTTTACCGGCACTGACTAAATTATATCAGCATACCCATGTTCATCATATTAGCATGTCATTTAGCTAAAGTTACCAATTTAGCTCTGAACAAAAAGGATGATGGTTATGTCTTTAGTCAAGGCAAAGCTGTACCACAATTGATGCCAAATCAACCAATATTGGTGTGGGAACTTTCAATATGTGTACGCAACTTTGTCCCAATCAATCTAGTAGATGTTTGGCTGGATGACTTTGACCTGGTGATGGCGCTAGATGAAAAGTTAGGAGACTGCCATGGATACATGGGTGCCATGGATATCTGAATGCTTATCCATCTAATAGATGTTGATACATCAAAAATGTAAACCTCATAATGACACTATAAGACAAAATAACCAAAGTCATTGGGATTCATCCACTTCAGACCGTGCCTTTCGGTCCATACAGATTTTTCAGTCTGCACAAAAGTAGTTTACCAACTTGCCATCCCTTAAGTGTCGCTAAAAATGCAGCTGCTACTCTGCGGGTGGCCCAAGGTTTAAAATTGGAGAAGTTTTAGCCTTCTTCGCCTGTAGGTGGCGACATCAACGTGTCTTCATCCACAGATCTAAACAGTTGCTGCTATTACTTTGGCATGTGGAAAACTCATTTGATACTGGCTGTACAGCTGGCCGAATGTGAAAAAGTTTCGTAGGATGCTGGGCATCACAAAATAAATACGAATATAGCTGCAAGGAAAAACAATCAACAGCTGCGAGGAAAGGCGTCGTCATTGAAACTGCGCTGCAGTGATGTATTTGAGTAAGAAGGCGTTATTTCCATACAGCCGCACAGTACCTAAGCCTTCACACACACCCGACAAGATGCCTCCAGATCACTACCTCCCCAGTGGGATGGAGAAAGGACAGACAGAGAGACCTGGAGAAGCCTGCCCTACCCCCCCTCCCCCGATCATCAACTGGAGGTGGGGCAGTTGATGCCAGTGCTCCTCTCTGGGCAGGTGGCAGGAATACAGATGGGAATAGGTGCCAGCTAGGGGCAAGGGGACAAGGACTGAAGCCCGAAATTGAAATGATTAGACAAATGTTGATATTTCTGACAGGATCAAATCACGAAAAGGCAGAGAGAAACGCCGGTTGGCTTGCCGGGCACCTGGCTGGCCGTGCATCATAGCTGACATGCTAGCTGCCTGTCTGTCTATCTGTGGCTCTGATGGAATGGTCTTCACCTGGCAGGGGCGTTTGGGCGTAGCTGGGGTGGGGGGCCTCATCTGAGCTCGTCTCTGTGCTGAGCCGACTGGAGATGACGTCCACCCGCTTTTTCCACGACACCTTACGGAGATCCAGGTTGGACCCCACCAACTTGACATATTGCCAGCCTTGTGTTTGGGGTCACAGGGAAGAAGCAAGCAGGCGAAGGATAGATTTGTAGCGGAGAAGTATCAAGGTTTGGCTTTACTATGCATTACTTTCCGAGAAAAAGCGATCAAACACATAAATGGGATTATAAGATACACTATGGAAGTATATATGTTGGTTTATGTCACAGAAGCCCAAATTGTCTTCACATTAACTTCCAGAGAAAAGAGCACAAAAAAAAGGCTGCAGAAAGCAGGAGGGTGACAGCAGATTTGACGAGGGAAGGCCTTGCAGTCTGTGATCGGAAAGCACTCCTATCTGGGGATATATTGGAAGCACATTTTGTTGCTGCCTGGCTGGGGCATTGCCTGGAGGCAAAAAATGCCCGCCAGATGACGCAAGAACGAGGCCAGCCCTGAGCTTCACAACTCCTCCAGCTCTTCCTCAATGCCACTCTTTTAAAAATTAGGAAGAATATTAATGTCACAGAGAAAACACTCACAACTGAGAAAGAGCCAGAAATCCTGAGGTTTTCAAAAAAAGAGTCTCACAAGCTGGGTGATTTCCGACAGCATAGCTGTGACCAACATTTCGTTCCCTCTCCTTCTGACGAAGCAATGACACCACAACGCATACTGCATGAACGCGTGGGCTAAACACTTAGGTACAAGAACAAAGCAAGGTGCATGAGAGCACGTAGAATGTGGAACAATTGGATCCATATTGTAGTGATAGCTCACACTCTAGCAGTCTGACATCCATCTTTCCAGAGCAGAACATATAGAGCACTAGAACAATGAGTTTACACTGTCAGCTGTTATAAGCAGCTTGTGGTTTTGGCTCTGGGTACCCACCTTCACCAGAGACGCTGGGTGTCTTGGAGCCTGTAGGGGACCTCAGCACCTCATCGCTGTACATCAGGTAGCTGTCATACTCGTCTCCTGCCTCTGCATCCACAATAGGGATATCTGGAATGATGGGAACTGTAGGGACAGAAAGAGAGGAAAATGACTCTTTTCAGGGAACGACAGATCGACTGGAAGTGTTCCAGAGGTGTGCTTGCCCCCCCTGACTTACTGGACAGAGGTCTAGCAGGCTGTGACGCCAGGTTGATGGTGGCATCTTTGAAGGGGCCCCAGCCTATGCTGTTCATGGCACGGACCTTGTACTGGTAGGTCTGAGCGTTCTGGAGGTTTTCAATCAACAGCATTCGCTTCTTGGGGTTGTCGATCTTTACTTTCTTAGCAGGGCCCACCGCCTCTGTGAGGAAAGTATTGCGAGATGGTGAAAATGACATCATGCAACTATCTGTAGAGCGTTTCCTGATTTTTCAAGTCGGACTCTTACTCTTTTCGTCGTCGATGGGAGTGTAGATGACCTCGTAAGCCGTAATTTTGCCGTTGGTCTCTGCAGGCTCTGCCCAGCTCACCTGAGTGACAGTCGGACTGATGACATTAAAGGCCAGACGTCCAGGTTCACCAGGCACTGGAGGAAAAATGGAACAGGGAGCGATTGTATGTATGTATGTAACAGTATGTTCCACAGGATTGGCAGTTCACTTTAATATAATATTTGTCTACTACTGATTGTGATGCAACATTGACTTCATGTCGACATAGTCACCACGACAGATACACGACAGTTTCCAAGCAACTGATTTAGACATTGCAAACGTCTTTCCTACGTCTTGCATTTAAAGTCATACACTACAGGCATTTAAATATGCATATGAGGCATTGTCTTATTAGATATATGCAAATTTGCATAACTTTCCAGAATAGAAATCTGAACATTGGATAAAGCCAGGTCCAAAATTATTCTTTCATTTTGTTTTAGAGTCCTAGATTAATACAGAGGCCATATTTTTGCCATGTTTTTAGTTATTAAATGCTCTATATAACAGGCTATGAATGATATATTACCAAATCCCTCTGTAAAAACATTCAGACTATAGACAGGAATGAAATGGAAAGTTTGGTGTAAGTAAGAGCTACTGAAGTGGAGATTTCTGATTTCTGAGTCTGAGAAAAAACTAATTTAAAAATATGTATTGTAAAATGACGTACATTTTGAAGACAGTACAGGTGAATAGGGTAAAAATCGTTAACTAAAATATATCAACATGAAGCTTGCATGAACAGCAGTTCACTGAATTCTCAGTAATTACCATCCTCAAGTGTTTGACAGGGAACCATTTCTGTGTCGTTGCCATCTCCCATTGCGTTGTAGCCGCACACTCTTGTCTCGTAGTCACAAAAGGGGTACAGGTTGGTCAACTCAGCTTGAGTAGTCTTCACATCTAAGACCTGGGCATCTTTCTCTGGGTCGCCATAGATCCAATACTTTACCTGAAACGAACAAGGAAAGATAAGATTCAGTGTTTCAGTGCCCATTGTTAATGATGGTCGTGAACCCAAGTTGAAGCATCTCAACATGTAGATTCGATTTGTACCTTGTACCCCATGGGGTTACCAGACGCCGGGTCCCAGTTGAGGCGGATGTTTCTGGGTCCAGTTGCTTTGGCCTTAAGGTTTGCTGGGGCTAAAAGGCGACCGCCAGGGGAGGTGACTTTTGGGCTTACGAAGCCCTTCTGCTGCACTTGGGAAATCTCTGGTGCAGGAACTGGAAGAAGTGACAGGATGAATCAAACATTTACCAGCTACAGTACCTCTTTTTCAGAATGCTCCCTTCTCTCATCATCTAAAATCTGAAACACCACAACGACAGAAACTCCACAAATTGCCAGGTTTTTGCAACGAATGACTCCGGGTCTTACCTCCGTCAGTGACATTGACAAGGGTGGTCTTCCTGTCTCCGACAGAGGCGTTGCTACTTGGGTCATACAGCTCCAGTTGGATGGTCTCTGGCTTGATTGGGCCAGGGTGGGCCCTCGGGTCGATCACTATGTTCTTCTCCGTCTCTCCAGGATTAAACTTCAGAGGGCCGGATAATTCAAAGCGCTTGGCCTTCTTGGTGCGCCACTTCACTGTGGCGGGGCTGTCCTGGTTGCGAGTGCGGACCACGGGGATGGTGTAGGTGGGATCAGATGTGCTGAAGGTCTGGGTGCCCTTTTTGAACATCATCACACTGGGCTCTGGGTAAAACAAGATAATGTAAAGGAAGAGAAGAAACCACAGCAATCAGTGCTTTGGGTCGCAACAAAGGTTAGTGGCGCTGATGTAAAGCCTCTCGCGTTTTTTTTCACCTGGCTGGTCTGTGATGGTGATAGTAGTTCTCGGGTAGCGTCCCAGCTTGGCGCCCTGCCGCGGGTTGCTGAGATCCATGACAAACTGCTTAAACTGTTTGTCTTCCAGGAGGCCATCTTTCTCGCTCAGCTCCAGCAGACGAACAGGCACCATCTTCTGGGTCTCATCAGGATTAAAGGTCAGGTCTCCTTCCATAGCCGCATAGTCCTTAAATACACAAAAAGAATAGATTAGGAATGCAGTCCTAGTCCTCTCACTTCACAAATGCCAACTATAGATAGCAAGCCCAAATGTTGTTGTAGGTGAGCACACCAGCTCACCTTCTTATCCTTGGCTGTGAGGTCCCGTGTGCGGTAGGTGACCTGTGAGCGTCCATCTTCTATGATCTCTCTGCTGATCGGGATGTTGGCAATTCCGTCCAGCCTGCTGTAGGTGTAGGCCGGCTGGAGGAACGAGAAGACACTGGTGGCTGGGAAAGAGGAAGAGGAGACTCCATTAGAGCAATTCACAGTGAAGACTATACACTTCTTCTGACATGCAAAGTCTGAGGTCTCTCACCATGCTCTTTGATGATGGTGATGTTGACCAAACGTTTTCCAATCTCAGCGATACCCAGTGGCACGTCATTGGCCTCCACCTGCAGCTGCTTCTTGTCATCGTCTTCATCCTTGACGAAGAGCGGCACGTGGACGTCTACCGACTCCACACCTTCTTGGAACTCTATTGCTCCTGCGGCCTCTGTAGATGGGAGAGCAAATGAGACGACAAGATTTATCGCGAGATTGATAACACAGGCATGTTCAGTTGAGATCAGGAATTGTTTCGCTTAACGTCGCAACAAACGGAACATTTGAGTTATTAATTTCATCCCCACACGGAAATAGTTAACAATCACCTCGGTCTGTGGCCACAGTGTAGTAGCCAGGCACCACCTTGAGATCATGCATGTTTCCAGACTGGACGCTTTTCTCCGTGAGCTTGACGATATCAGGGTAGCTGCTGCGAGGAGCAGATAGGACGGTGTCCATGATGGCGTAGTCCTGCCTGAAGAGCACAGGAGGGGCAGAGAAGTTAGAAATGCATGACCTCCGCGTCCTTCAAAGGAACTCTGGTGATGTCCTGTATTGTATTTCATTGTGTCAATCAGAATGTTACCTTTTTCCGGCATTTCTCTGCATTCTGCAAGAACCGAAATAGGTGTTGATGAGTGCAAGAACAGACATTTCATTTCCATTTCTGTTTCAAATATGTGAATATGAAGGATACCGTTTCTTACAATTGCGACTGCATTCAGTCAATGTAGTTAATTGAAGCAATAAATCCCTCAGTGCAATATTAACAGAGAGTTTCCAGCAAAGTCTGTGAGGGTTGAATGCTGTCCCACTGTCAAATCATTGAGGGTTTGAGAGGTGTCTCGCGGACATTTTAAGCCCTTTATGAACCTTTTCCGTAAGTCCGCATTTCTGCAGACTTTGCCTTAGGGAACTACCCACAATTCATAGCAATCTGATGTTAAACAGGGGGTTACTAGTGGAAGCATGGAGACGTAAAAAAAAGGTAAACAAAGAGGATGGCACATGTGTGTTCAGCCTGGCAAATTATATTTACTCAGAAACATTATGGATTAAAGATGGAACATGAAAACACATGAAGTTTAGAGGAATGGAAACAGATACTATGGTACACCGATTTATTCATTTAGTCATTGAAGCTGTTTTGAAAAAAATGAGTAAATAAATCATTTGAAATTACAAGCCTGGAAGACATTCAAATCAGGGAGTAAAAAGTATAAAATAAATTAAAACTTGTTTTGACGTTGACACATTGTGATATGTTGCTGTCCCATTCGTTTTACACCATTTAAAGCCCTTAGCCTCACACTCAACCATTACCAGGTGACGTCAGTAAGTCCTTGAGGGTTTAAGGCCTTGGGGTGGCATTGGGATTGGGCCATGCTCTTGATGCTGCTCAAAAACAGCACTTCCTGGTTCTCAGCAAAAAAGGCATCCTAAACTATGAGCGCAGAAGATTTTATGGACGAGGCAACATTTTCCAGTGTTTTGACTGACTCGGCTATTCGGATGTATTTATTTGAGCCAGAGTTTACGGCCGAAGCAATGCAGCGGAGAGAGGCCAAGGCTGCAGCTGCATCAGCCGTGCAAGAAGCTCACGAGCAATGCATCCTAGTACATGTAAGGCACTGCCGGCATGGCTCTGTGAGCAGGAGAACTCAGCTGTCTCGCTCAATACAGCCCACACTAAGGATTTTATTGCTTCAGTCGACTACATTTACCATCAACACTGATTGGACATCCACATAAAAAGGTTTCTTTTTGAGGAACATGCTGTATGTAACCAGACAAGTAGTTTCACACATCTTACCTGAATGAGGTTTTTTGAACCTTCTGGGCGCCGGGGATCTGCTTGTAGAACTCATTTAGCTGGACGGAAGAACAAAAGTACTCAGTGATGCAGTCATCATTCACACACTCATGTGCCCACGGATAAACGAAAACACACTCACGTTATCGGCAACTTCCTTGCGGAGCTGTTCGGCATCTCTGGATTCGGGACGAGACAGGTTCTCAGCGAACAGCCTGTTCAGTCGGAGAGAGATCGGGAACTGGACTACAAGGGGAGAAAGGAACCATGAAAACAAACAGAGGTAAGAGTAACATCATTTCATCTTTAAATTCAGCATCATCCTTGCCCCTAACTTCTTTCGTAAGTTTATAGTTGCTGAGCACTCACTGGTCTCTTTAGGGTTGGGCTTTATCAGAGCCTGGGGGTGATTGGGTGATCGGTGTACGTTATCTGTGACCTTCCAGCGAACCACATCGGTTCCTTTGGGTGGGCCGGTCCTCACCATTGGTGTGTCCAGATGGTCTGAGGTGAGCAGAGACTGACGGAGCAAATACTCATCTTCCTTGAAGCCAACCATACGACCTGGATAGAACGCAACATAAGGGTGACGCAAATTCAACATGGTCCCCAGATGGGAGGATAACGCATCTAAAGCAACATTGTCACGTGTGAGTCCTACCTGTCCTACAGCAAGGCAGCAGGGCAAGACAGCTCTGTGTCAAGAGAAGACAGAAGGCATTACTTCCACTGAGACTTAATAAATATTCATCATCAATGGGTAAAAATGGGAGTGTTTTTACCTGGCAGCAGGTTTTGCAGCAGGCACAGTATTTCCAGCAGCAGAGCAGCAGAAGTGCCAGCAGCAACAAGAGGAACAAGAGGAGCGGGAGCAACCACAGGAGGCTGGCAGGGGGACAATCTGAAGGTTGGGCACAGAGAGTACGATCATACAGAGCGCTGCTGGCTCACATCACTCCTGTTTTAAACTCATTGCGCTGGCTTCCAGTTAGGTGCTTTTGGGTAGTTTCAGTCTTTTCAGACAGCGAGCAGTTGCTGGCGCTTTTCACTTCCGGTGGCGTCTAGCTATGCATACAGTTTTGGTGTTAATTGTCCAGGTTTTAAGACATCCATCCGTCACCACAAATACAATGGAGTATGGTGCTCACACCTTTGTACTGCAGGGATATGTCAGCTTTCACATGTTAGATATTTCTCTATATCGTTAATATCAACACCTAAATGAGCCACGATCAAAGTAAGAAAGAAAACTATGACCCCATTGCTCATGGTAAGAAGATGGAATCGAAGTATTGAAATCTACTTTGAGCACTTAAGCTTAATTAAAAAAAAAAAAAAAAACACTTTCTAAAGCACAAAATGACAACGGTCAAGTGTTTTAATAAATGATACATCAGCTGCTGAAACGAGAGCACAGAGCATTCAACCTGCAGCTTACCTCTCTTTTTGAGCACCTGGACCTCCAGGGCTGTACGACTGGAATCTTTCGGGGTTGCGACAGTGTAGTTGTAAGTACAGTCGTCATCCTCATCACGGAAACTGCACGCTTCTAAACCCTTCTCCGCTGAAAGCACATACATAGACACACGTCAATGTTTTCAGGCAATGCTGATATAGTGTCAAAAGCTGATATAGTGTCAAAAGTTATCATCATAACAACCTTAAAGACGATGATGTGCATAGTGTAGTGGATCATTTATCATTCAGTAAAACCAGTCAGTTTGCTCCTTTTAGATGTGCGTACCTTTTTTGAGTTCATCCACCAAGACAATTTCGAATAGGCACTTGTCACATTCTTCTTTCTCTTTCTTTTCTCCTGTTTTCCAGGCCTGACACTGGACACAAGACCTCGTCCCCTCGCACACACCCATCTGGGCCTAGACACGACCCACAAACACACATACACACACACACATCAAAAGAAGGCCAAGCGGGACTCAATGAATGAGGCATTGAGTGTAGTTGAAAAAGCAAAAACGCAACTAGAAACACATGTCTATACATTACACCCACTCACCTCGAAATTTGGCTCACAGGTTGTAGTCATTGCCAAACCAGAGCCAAGACACTTACATTGGCCACAGATACATTGACCTCGCCCATTGCAGACGCCCTGGTGCAGATAAAGACACAGTCAGGCTCCTGAAGACGTGTAAGGTGACATGATAACGTCCTCTATTGACACAAGCTGTTGGCTCTACTCACACCCCTGCTGTCCAGACAGGTCTGGGTGCTCTTGGGACACCCGCAGGCATCGCCCGTCCAGCCCTCAGAACACGCACACCGACCCATGACACAAGAGCCCCGGTCTGATGAGAGAAGAAAGAATGAGATTTAACTGCATTATAAGTGGTGTGGGGACAAATGGTGGGAGGTGTTCTGGAACAATAAATTACTAATAGTATACAGAAAAGAAAAATTAGACAAATGCAGCATGATGAAGACTTTATTTGTATTAATATTATTATTGTTATTATTTGTATGTTTTTTAATTAATCAGTTATTGTAATTATTATTGTTTTAATTAATTTAAGTTTTCCAATTGTATTTATTATTTATTTATTTTAATTTTTCTTGGGTCTTTCCACCTGCCCCTGAGGTTATGCAAAACAAACAGAACATACAGGTGGTGAAAGTGACACCATACCCATACATTCACCCTTAATCACCAATTAAACAACCACAAATTGTCGTACCATTGCAGAGGAAGCCGCCATGTCTTTGACACTGGGTCTTGTCGTACTGACAGAATTGTCCCTCAAACTGATCCGGGTTGTTGCACACGCAGGTTCCACACTCCTGGCACTCCCCACGGCCTGAACATGGGTCCTTCATTTGCGGACCAATACACTGACTTTTGTCCACAGACTGTGTTTTTGAGCAGTTACAGAAGGGACCCACCCTGAAGGAGACACGGAGACAGACAAAGACCTGATTGAACCCAGAGGCCTGAAACAGTCCCTCTGGAGAAATATTCTCTGTAAGAAATAATAGTTAAAGTCTCACCAGCCACCACTGCACTGACACTTCCCACACACAAGGTCTCCCTGTTGGTTGCACCTGGCTGCATTAGGGATGGGAGACTGGAGGAAAGGTAAAAGACACTGGGATGACTCCGCTGTACAAACAGGTGTGTAAGTGGCTTCACCTCAACTTTTTCGTGCGCTTCGGTGTCAATCTGTGTGCCTACCTTCTCACATTCGCAGATTGGACACAAAATCGAGGCCTTAACTTTGAGGGCAGTGTTGAAGGTTGTAGGTTTGACTGCCATTATCCCCTCTTTTGTGCCCTGACCCATCTGGCAGACAAGTTGTTCATCGATCATTCGCTGGGCTGTGAGCCGCATCTTGAAGTTGCCCTGGCGACCACACACACACACACACACACACACACACACACACACACACACACACAATGTTAGAGCATCTGTGTGCACTTTAAGCATTTAGCTGTCAGAGTCTAAGCATTAACAGAGTTAGATCAACAAGTTAGGACAATATTGGTGATGAAAATTAAAGAGCCTGTAAAAGCTGAGATAAAAACTAATTGAAGTCAATCATTAGTTTAATTGGGCAACATTTTGTATGAACTAATTATTTATTTGATGGCTGTATTGTATACACATAGACAATAATTCAAATGTGGGTAACAGAATGAATTCCTGTCATTTTTGGCTACAAAATAACTAGATTTGAGGGAACATACATGATTTATATTTCTACATTTCTCCAAATCCAACACTATTTGAGTACAGTTGTACCTGATACTGTTTACATATTTAGTTGAGTTAGAAGAAGGGATAATAAAAAAATCTACATATCTGCTTACAATTCCAGGAAGAACTTGCTTTTTGTTTTTGATTCCATTTGCAAGAGGAAATTCTTTGAAATAGATTTCATATGACGCTCGGGATGGCTGGCCTTTTTTAAACTTATTGAGCTATTTATCTTTTGTCTTGGAGTTAAGGGAATAGAGAAGTATTTCTAATTATGAAAAAAATATTTTTGTATAACAAGTTTTTCTGAAATGTTATATGTGAATATGAAAATGAGGCATTATCTATTGCTAAAGAGAAATCTACAGACACAAATAGACAAAGTAGAAAAAAAACACCTAAATATGTAATTGTGGATGTTTTCTTTCCACTAGACTGAAAGAAGACGAAAAGTAGCCCCAATGCTCAAAATTGACCAGTGCATGAAAAAACAAATGTCTTTGGCTTAAAAAAAGAATTAATATATTGGATGTTAGCACAAAATATCAATCTAAGTAAGGACTATCAGCTTTAAAAAACAAGAATTGGGCTTCTAACTCCATGTATGTTTGTGTTTTTCAGTTTCTTGTTCTTCTTCTTACTATTTCGCCAGGCAACAAAGTAAAGGCCCCGTCTTGTTCAAATCCATCGACATTGAAGAACGTTTCCTTGATAGCGCCTGGTGTGTTCTCTGCACGGATGCTCATCTTAGAACGGATACTCTGTAAGGACAAATTAAAAATGTCAGCAAGCAGAAGTTTGCACAGCCACTGGACTCAATTGTCTACAGAGTTGCCATCAACTGCAAAAAGACACCAAAAAACGTCCTCTTCTACCTAACAATTGTCAGAGGAGGGGACGTTTTACCTTGAAGGCAGTCTCCATGAGTTCCAGGATGTTCTTAGAGTCTTCTTGCAGCAGACCGATTTCAGCAATGGGGAAGTAGTCTTTGAGTTTCTAAACAGAGAATCACGCACGATACAAAAATAAATCCATGACCTCAACTCTGACCTAAAACCTAACTCCATGTTTTAATGAAAGCCCACTGACCTCGTAATAATCGTAGGAGTGATTGGTGACAGCAAAGATGGGAATGATGTTGTGTTTGCCCAGCAGACGGACCAGTGTGGGTATTGAAGGGTAATCCTGGTGTATATCCTTTGTGTATTTGTCATCGTCGTCGAGGTGGCAGCCCTCGTCGTTGCGCTTCAAGATGCCCGACAGCACGTTGGCACCGTCTGACTCGTAGTGGAAGGCTGACTCGGTGGAGAAGACCAGGAGATGCGTGCTTTCGTTACGCCAGCCGATCTCCTTCTACAATAAGAATATCAATAAAATGTGAGCGGAAGAAACAGTGGTTAGTAAAGAGATTCAAAAAGAGATTCAAAGATGCAACCTTTGCTGAGCAGAAGCCATTGTGGCCAAAAGTAACAATTATAATCACTACAGCATTGCGTGAACTCGCTTGGCAAGGGCTTGAATGTGACAGATGTTCATTTATATTTAAAAGTCTCCCTAACAGAGAATTAAAAGGCAAGTTTTAGCCTTTTTTATAATCTATTTTTGCCACCCACATGTAAGCATTGCAACATATGTTTTGTATTTAACATTCTTACAAACCCCACAAACTGTAGCCTGCAATATGGCATCAAAACCTCCTTCAGGAGCATCCAGGTTGCCAGATATTTTCTCATTCTGGAGCTTATTGCTGAAGCTCTCCGCGTCGTTGGTCAACCGGATGACGTTTTGGAAAGAGAACGGTGGGTCGCTGTTGGGCCACGGCTTAGCCAGTCTGAGAAGGTGGAAGGAGGATGGACGTAAAAAGGAGAGAGAAAAGAGGGAATGGCATTTCGGTTAATCTACGGTATGTCAGTGCTTAACTTTATTCAACGTGTTCATGTGACATTTTCCCGCTTACTTTTCGGGTCTCATGTCCGTCTGGGGCTCGATGACTTTGTCGACAAACTTTCCAAACCCGATGGTGTAGTCTTTTGACAGCGTCTTAACAAAGGTAGCTATAGGAAACGCATTCGCCATCAGCATTAACGCGACAACTCGCTCGACAGTCGGCACAACAAGTTGCCAATACAAAGACGCTCACCCAGCCCGTTGCCCATCCTCTTCAAGTTTTCCAAATCGTCAGCCATAGAGTTGGAGAAGTCCATGAGAATATATAGGTCCAGGGGGCCTTCAGTCGGAGCAAACACTTGGAAGTCAACCGTCTTCTCCTCTCCTGGCAGAAAGCTCATGCTCATCTGCTGTGGATACACTTGGGACAGCTGAAGGTTCGTGTTGATTTGTTGCTTCTGAGCAGCGAGAAGGGAGACGGAGAGGAAGCACAAGGGGAAAAAAGTCACGACGTCATACTTTTTGATTTAAAACAACAGCATACATTTGAGACTAAAGAATGATTGGGAGAGAAAAGAGAGTGGTGAAGACTTACTTTTTCAATCTTCATACTGCTGCGATCTGTGATTACAGCAGGACTGCAGCCGTGGGCAAGTATATTCTTGTACAGGTCGCAGCGAGGGCCATTAAAGGTCTGAGCAGACGGGAAGTTTGATTAGTGAGTTCTGTTTCCTTTACATTACCGTGCCAAGTCTTTGCATAACAATCACTTTTGTTTTATGCAAAATGAAGATTGATTTTGTGCCTGGAAAATGGTAGCAAACTCATCCACTGGTGCAGACCAGGCGATACAGGTGAAAGCTTGAGTTGTTTTTTTTTTTTTTTGTCAAAGAACGTTTATCACAACGTGACTGTAGTTTCAAACATAGGACAGGTTACGACAAGTACTCCACCTTCAGATGCAGACCATAACATGCAGCTGAAAGCTCCCCCCCCAAAAAAAACAGTAGTTAAAAAAACTAGTGTGGTTAAATTGTCAAATTATAAATTGGAATTCTGTGGTCTTGCTAACATGCAAATCATTTCAAATTTTTGGATGTTAGCACATTGTACCAGGGCAAAGTACGTAGCTACCATCCAAGATTCAAAATATGAATCAAGTACATGGTTTGCTAAAAAAAAAAGGCAGTATTTCTCCCTGATGAATGTCAGAATTTGTCTCGGGATTGACAGATTTGAGTCCAGTTATTTTTCTACTCCTGCTGTTTTGTGCTCTCACCTCATCAGGGCAGTAGGCACAGCCTGTCCCCACCTGCAGGCATTGTGAACAGGTCCCGGCCCTGGCAGCGAAGCAGTAGTTTTCTGGAGGGGGGGGGGGGGGGGGAACAAAGTGAGAATCAAGCACATGAAGCATAGCTAGAATACCTGCAGTAACACTGAACAGGCTTGCTTTTTTCCCCAATAGTGTTCCAGACTAAATCAATGCAACAGTGATACAGTAGTAAACAAAAAGGGAGATCAAGCACAAATATCTTCCACTAATACAAAATATCATATACTGTTGCCATCAATAATATTATAATGTGTGCCATACACACAATAGTCTAAAATCGTGGGTGTATTATATTTTGGATCAATCAATTATTTAGTCTATATAATTCCCGAAGTCAGTGACAAAATCAATCTTCAAAATGTCCCTGATTTTTTACTGTATAAACAGGGAAAAGGAGGAAATAACTACATTTCAGGTGCTTGAAACAGAGACAGTCACGATCTTTCTCTGATAAATGACTTAAACAAATAATTCATGACTTACTTACTGTAAACTGCAATCTAAACTTTGATTAAAAACTGTAAAACTAAGAAAATATGGTAAGTGATCGATCGCCAACTATCCTGTTCAGGCAACTGCTTGGATACAAAATAGCATGTGATTCAATAACTTGTAGTGACATAAAGTTACTAGCCATGACTCAGGGGCTTTCTCACCTTCGGCATAACAGCCGGTCAACAGGACGGCTAGCAGCCCGAGCCCCACTGAGAGACGCAACGTCCATCTCCCCATCTCCTTCCTGCCAACACAAACACATACTGTCATATTTTGACATGTACAGTGTACAGCTAAAATCCACTGGTGGAGGGGGGGGGGGGGGGGGGGGGGGGGGGGGGGGGGGGAGAGTAGACTAAAGGTGTAACTTGAACCACCTGTACTTTCCCTCAGTCAAGCCCCGGTGAGAGTGAACAGGCCCAAACACTCCCCTTACCTTCACCACAGTTTGTGTGAAAGAGCAGAGTGGTGCAGCACAGACAGACACTCTGTACGTTCAGAAAATAACAGGAAACCTTTTCAAACACTTCCCTTGTCAACAATAATCATTTTCAACAATAATCATTTTCTGGAATGACCTACTCCATTTTAAAGAGTCTATCTAGCCATGTGGACTGACGTGGTCGCAACAAACCTCCATTATATTGGAGCTGGAAGCAAAAAATCTCAAAGACAGACATCTCAAAACTTGGGCATATAAAATGGCAAGATATCTCTTTTTTTATTTTAAGTCAAATATGACCGTGCTCTCTATATCTGGATTGAAGTGCTAAGTAATGCCTTTCATATACAGTTTTTAATTAGTGCACCATCTGCTGTAGCTCATTTCAGATGGAGACCAACTATATAGAGCCTGTTGAGACATGATACAATGAGATAGAAAAATAACGACAGGAAGAGACCAATGCAGGGTGGGACCTGGAAATATACTGGGCAGCATGCCGCGTCGACTCTCCACAATAAAACCACATAATATTTTATGCTGGAATCTTGGATAGAGAGCAATCTGATAAACAGAGAGCTGCAAAAAGATAAAAATAATCAAAAGATCTCCAGTAAAGACAGAAGGTGGAGAGCGAACAGAGGGCACTATGTGGCCTGAAATGTCTCAGTAATTGTCTCAGTGGGCAGAGAAATGAATAATGATGATTTGTACTCTGAGGATTTACACCAGAGAAGGAATTTCGACTTGAGGCGAGAGAAGGGCCTGTCCGAGTTAAAAACACAGTCTGACAACACATGGGAAAGGCACCTTAGCACCTCGCTGTGAGCTCGAGCTGACTACAGGTGTGTGTGGATGAGTTCATGCAATGCACACATAAATCACTGACTGAGATGGCTCACGGGGAAAGAAAAACAAAAAAAACAGAACAGACCAGCTCCTATCCTAACTTGACCACCAGTCACGGAATAAAGGAGCTGAGTGGAGAGAAAAAAGCACTTTGTATTTTCTCTTCCTTCTCAGACAGAATCATAGGCACGCAGGCGTTTATGACTCTGACAATAAAACTGGGAGACACAAATTACAGTAAGCAAGAGACAGAAAGTATAGATCTGAGTCCTTCATGCTGCTTTTTCTCTTTGGTCTGGCACAAAGAGAGTAGTTGTTGTCTGTACAGACAAATCCCAGCCTTCGAAGCTGTCGCTTCATTCCACCTTAACAGAATAACACAAAGCAAACTGATATAGGTCGAAATCAGTGGCCGTCCGCAAACTCGCTCACACACACACTCGTCTGGGTCGTTTCGTTCACCTGTGTTGCATTGTAGAGTGCGCTTCGATGTGGGCAGCCATGCAGAAAGAAATAATAATTTAAAAAATAAATCTGTCCAGAGCCTTGAGTCATGCAATTCTAAAACCACATGGTGAGATATGAAGTTACACAACGCGCGCTTTAGAACCAACCACCTTGCTCAAAAGGTGCGCAAATGTGAGCCAGCAGAATAATCGGAACATATTACGGGAGTGAGAAGAACACGTTTAAAAGGTGAACGGTGTTGAAAACAATGGAGCCATTAGGAAATGTTGCGACTGGATACAAATAGATTAGTGATCAAACAAACCTCTTACTGCGCGCGCTCTCGCCCAGTCCAAGTCCAAAAGTCCGACAATAAATAAGAAAGAAAAAAATTCCTTCTTGCTTTGTTTGACCCAAAAGTTTGGGGAAAGTTTGTATCCACCTGTAGAGAAATAAAAATAACTTCTTCTCCAAGTCCTCGTGTCCAAAAAATGTGTTCAAAGTTCCAAAAATAAGCCTTTTGTTCCCGTACAGTTGAGTTCTGGTCAAATATTGACTGACTTGTCCTTACGCTCAGCTGAGTCGAGAGAGAGAGAGAGAGTGTGTGTGTGTGTGTGTGTGTGTGTATGTGTATCCGCGTAGGTGCTAGAGTTTTTAAGTGTGTACGGGAGAGAGATATGAGAGACAGTGAGACCCAGAGCAACCGAGTGAAAATGACTGTGTGCTGTGATTGTATCCCTACTTTAGCTTCTGCACACACACACACCCACACACACACTCTCCCTACTTTATCCAGGTGAGCGGCTGTGACGGAGAGGGTTAACTCCCTTCCTGTACCTCTATCTCTCCCCCGCCCTGTTAGAAGTTAAAAAAGCTCCACACCTCTCTGTGTCAAGGGCCCCCTCCCTTCTGCATTCCACCCCAACAGGAGTTCACCTGTGTGGGCTTGAGGCTGGGCAGGCAGGCCCCTCCTTCCGTGGCTTCCTTCATGGCCTCCTCCCAGGCTCTTGGGAGTGGTACACAGAGCAGAACACTGCCTGCAGGCTACGGGAAACGGCTCGGTGACTCCTGCATTTACACAATCGCGCGCTCGCACCGACGGGCACATTTTCTGCTTGTCAAATATTTGAGTTTGAACATCATGATTGCCACGTATCTTTTCTCCCTTTTCTTTGAAGTAAAGCCACTTACAAGCTTACAAGACTAGAGTGCACATGATATAGAGACCATCCACCAACTAAAGGACCACAGGTTTACCCTCCAACAAGTCCTCCGTCCTTTACAGCGAAACAGCTCATTTACTATTCCCTCACTAACCGACCGATGAGTGAATGCTTCTGGTGGTCAGTCTTCTGTCAGTGTATCAGTGTGATATGACCGTATACACTGATACACTGGTCATATGGTTAAGGTTGGGTTGGGTTTAGAAGTGGCGGAAGAAGGACTCAGATATTTTACTTAAGTAAAGTAATGTCACAATGTAAAACTACTCTGTTACAAGTAAAAGTCCGGCATTTAAAATTAAAAAAATCAAAGTAATAAAATTAAAACATACTAGAAGTATCAAAAGTAGAAGTACTCATTTTGTTGAATAGCCCATATTATATCATTGGATTATAAATATCAATGTCTAATGTACTACTTCACTTTACGCTTTAATATTCAATATTACAGCTGGCTAATTTAAATTATATATCCACCCGGGGATCAATAAAGTCTTATTGATATAATTACATAATCGTTTATTTGTTGATTAGTATTTTGATAATATTTTGTATTTTTAATCTGAATCTGGAGAGTAACTAGTAATTAAAGTTATAAAATAAATGTCGTAGAGTTAAAGTACAATATTTCCCTCTATGATGTAGCGTAGAAGTATAAAGTAGTAGGAAATGGAAATACTCCAGTACCTAAAAATGTACTTAAGTACAGAACTTGAGTAAATGTATAGTTACTCTCCACCCCTGGGGTTGGGCAAATAGTGTTAGGGAAAGACTGGTCATGGTTAGAATGTAACTATCAAAGTTAGATACTTTATACACCCTATCGTTCAAATGATACCAATCCTAAAGAGATATTTCCTAAATTTAAACTCCAAACCTTTAACATCGCCTTTTTTATTCAAAGCCATTTTTGACGAGCCACATTCCTCTTAATGACATATGTCTAAACCGAGCCTGGTTGGTGAATCATTTTGCGATTTCCCTCTGGCATTGATAACTGCTATTGTGAAAGCTCCTCCTGGAGGTCCACTCAGCTCATACTCATCTCTATGCAGATGACACACAGATGTACATTTCTTCACCGCCCACTGATGGAATCAGACCTGATTTACATTGGTTTAGTGCATTGATTATAGAAAACGTGTGGATGATACAACACAGGTAGTAATTAGAGCACCAAATCAAGTTTTAACTCCTTATAATTAATCCTTCTTATTAAAGTTGATATTGTGCTGGTCACATGGTACATATTCCTTAATTACGTTGCACCTAATCAACTTAGCACAAACATTTACAAGTTGAACACATGGGGCAAGGTGTTATACTTTTGGTCTTTTTTTGGTTTAGGTAATCAGTAATAATGACCCGACCGATCTATATTTATTTTGCCCGTTGTTCGTTGTTGGTAAATCGCCTTCTTTTAATCCTTTTCCTGGAACTAAACCCTTAATCTATTTTGGTTGTTTGATAATTTCTTTGTGTTGCAATCTTGGAAGTAAGCAGTAGGGTTAGGGGTTAGTTCCAGTGTGAGCGTTTATTTCTCTGTGAAGGCCTTTCCTCTTGTCTCCAGCAGACCACACATCAGGTGTTAAAAGGTTATTCTCAACCGCCGCACTGCACCCATCACACACCTCGCAACTGGACTCACACAGACTCTGATCCGTAACCATGGTGAACCTGGGACTCTAATCTGGGATTTGAGGAGTTAACATGACTCAGAGGAGAAAACAACCTTTTCCCTCTTCACTGTACTTACCACACTGGGCAACCCCAACGGGGACATACACAGTGAAGCTCCTAGCAACCAGATCTGGTTTGATACAATGGCTAACTTCTCTCGAGGAGGGGGGGGAGAACAAAACCTCTGCAGAGACAACCCCCCCCCCCCCCCCCCTCCTCTTGCTTTCTTGGCTGACACTTTGGCAGTGATGCCAGTCTAAACAGCTCTTTCACTTGTTGAAGGAGGAGCCGAAGGGAGTGGCCCACCTACTTCATAATTTTTGCTTTCAGTAAACATAATGACTCCCAGCAGTTAGTGTGAGCAATATGGGACATATGTGCCACATATTACATGGTATGTCTATTGCAAATGTGGAAAATAGAATCTCTTGTACTTATGATATAAAATGCATCATAACACAGGAGTTCCTACCCCAGAAAGCAAAATATGATTGAATCAACAGTAAATTACTGTAACATTACAGGCTGTAATCATTCACTATTTTACACTTAAACTTACAAAAAGTCATGCAATGTAATTTGTCTATAACCTACATATGAGGCAACGTAATATAAAGGGCGACAAAGTCGGCATGGGTGAACGGGTCAAGCAAACACAGGACTTTCACCCAGGAGACGGTTGTTGGTGTCCCGTTGATGTTGACTTATTTTAACATAACCAAGTAGTTGTGTTGCCTGAACAACAGGTTCTGCACTGCAGGGGCTTGCAGAGGCGTTCTAATGGATTGTGTTGCTGGACGTTTGTAAGAGACATGAAACATAAAAAGTAACCTTTCGTAAGACATAATACCATTGTATGAGGATGAGGATACGTTGTATATTGACATTGATGCCCAACGTTGAAACCAAATTGAAAGTGCTTGTTATGTTTAATGAAGAATAAACATTATGTAATTTCAATACTGATTCACACACATCCCTAAAATGTCTATTTCCCAGTCCTCATTTAATCTAAAATATTAAATCGGCACATTGAGACAATATTGATGACATGTTTCCATTGTGAAACGTTAAACAATGTGAATTCACTGGCTTTTTGTTTCAATATGAAAGCTGTGACTGCTGTAAATATCCAAGTTTTATTTCCAACCTCAACCATATAGCAACCTTTTTTCTTATAAATTAATTTTACAATCTGGGACATCCGTAGTGTTAAGAATCCCCAGAGAGCCAACACGAGACCACAGTGATCTCTTTCATTTAAATCATTACAGTACCAAATCACCTAAATTAAAAGATTCAGTTTTTAACTCACCTAACTGTTCTTGTCTACACTCAAGATAAACTTTATTAATGAAATTAAGTCGTTCATTGACCATCTGAGCTTTTATCCGCTTTTACCAGTGAAGCTGCTGATCAAGACGTCACTTACTGTGAACGAGGTGCTGCCGAGGTGAACCGGACCTCATCAGCTCAAAGGACCGTCGACACGCATTCTGTTGGGAAACCATAAGAATCCAAAAAAACAAAAGAAGAGAAGAAGAATTGTAGAAGTTTTTGGATACAAAGTGAAATCCCGAAAAGAAAGTGTCCACTCTCAGCTCCCATTTAGTTCACTTCAAACTGAGTCCAGTCCGTGGCCAACTCCACCAATTTACATGACAAAAACGGCACTTCTTTGGACCAGTGAGGTCATTCAGTGCCCCCCCCCCCCAATAAATGTGTTACAACACAGAGGAACACCGACATTTCAGGGTGAAAAACAGTGAAACTTTCAGACGGTGTTGCGACTCAGAATAATGATGAAAACACGACTAACGTGAGTATTTTACACGGAAAAAGGGTAATGTGCAAACTAAAGTTGTATATGATAGCAAACAATGTCCCAAATGGACAATGCAAAGTGTTTGTGTAGTTGCATATGATAATTATTACAACCCCATGAACATACCATAGTAGCATAATATAGGGTAGCTAACATATTTGCTATGCTATCGATGCTACATGATAAAGAAAAGATAAAGAAAACAAAACGTTCATGTTTGTATCGAGTTGGAGGGTTAAACAAAACCACGGACTCGGATTGAATCCTCATATTTTGCTCATATTTCTAATTAGTCTTGTCTCACACCTGAGTCAAATCTGCGTGACGACAGCGGATGGATGGAGAGCTGGTTGAGGGGAACGTCGAGACCTGTTCAGTACAAATTGTATAATTGGGTGTGTCTCGTGGGCTCACCTGCAAGGTGTGCGCGCGCTCACAGGAACTTAAGACACAAACACAGTGTTGCGGATTTCATAACGGTGAATCATCCCGATAGCATTCCTTCAAGGACATCCTGTGTAGCTGTTGCACACAGCATTGAGTTTACACTCTTTATGGTACCTCATGGTGTAAAAATAACAAATTTATACTGAAACTAATCCACTTCACTTTGTGGAAAAAAGGAAATTTGCAGATACATTTTTAAAAAGTGGCTTAAAAATACCAAACACCTGAATTAAAACATGAATAGCATACAGAATTATATGCAGTAGTTTCTACATCAGCATGAATGTATTTATCATGAATACTTTCATAACTCCACATTAATGCAACCAGCCAGGCGTTAATACATCGAGAACACCAGTTCACTATAAAAGTTACTTTTTTTAAAATGTAGTGGTTTGTGAGAAAGGCAATTCTATGCATGTGCGTCATGATTCACTTTCAATAATCAATCACAAATGTAATTCCTGTGAGGGAACCATCCACAGGTTGCACACTTGACTCGCGTTGTATTTTCTCTCCTTAATCAATCCAGCTGGGAGTCTTTATTCTGCAAATGTGGCTGTCATCTAACCATAACATACCAGACGATGTGTTGAAGAGACACTGCATTTTTCTCAGTGCTGTATTTGAATTCCGGGCTCTGCAGAAACATGTTAAGAAACAACAACATGGGCAAACAAACAATTTGAGCACATCTTTGCATATTTGTTTGGTGTTTAGTCAAAAGACTGCACCCACATTCCCTATCTTACAGAGTGAAAAGGTCATGAAAAAATATTTGCGGCTTGTAACGGTAATCAAGTGGGAAAAGCTTGAAGTTTGAAATAACTCAATGGGGAATTTTGGCCTGCTCACACTGTAGACTTTAACCCTGGAGTGGTGCTTCAGAAGTACTCTGACCTCTTACTGCCCTCCCCCTCCATATGTGGAGACTGAGGTGAGGAACAGCACAAGTCAAAACTCCACCTGGAGCACACATGCATTCCCTGAGACGAAAGACAAATGGTGTGTGTGTGTGTTTTTGAGAGCCGGAGAGATTCTTCAGCCTGCCTGCAGTCTTCATCCCGTGTAAAGCTTTGCTAGAACGGCGAGACAACAGAAGCTTTTAGGTCCTCATCTGGCCCGAATAGCGGTTCCATGCGCTTCACCTTTCAGATAAAGTCACTTCAGTGTGCTGGTTGTAAACAGTTAGAAATGACAAGAAAAAACAGACAAGAATCCAACTGAAAAGACAACATCTGATCCATTTATTCCTCTTATCATCAATACATATGTACAAGTGTAAAAAATATCTTACTTTATAGTCGGTCAATTTGCCAATGATGGAAAAAAAAAAAGCTGATGCACATATCGACCTAGAACACATAACTGCTGCGGGATGCATAGAAATACTGCACCAAAACTATGGACACGTTTACAGATATTTCTACCAGGTCTGTTTGGGACCTTCTTATGCAAACACATATAGAAAAAAACATAATGAATGTTTTATAAGCATGAGATCTGCATGCACCACACCACAGGTTTTCAGAGGATCTATTGAGTATTTTCAGCAAACTGCAAATTTGGCTTCATGAGGCAATAGTGCAGATACAATCCCAGAGATAGACGGCAGTGACGTCTTTAGATCAGTCCACGTGTAGCAGAGGGGATTTGTACGTTGGTTGTAAGAGTCCACGAGTTCATTTGAGCTCTCTCTCTGCTTCCTTCCACATACGTAATGAGCGCAGGACAACACAGGTCTTGCAGCTTCCTGTCACTCTTATAGACTAACACAAACACAGACAGATCACTGCTTTGCCTTCTTTAGGATGGTGCCCACCGCAGAGATGACCGTGGTCTTGGTGCCGCTGGCGGTGGTCGTCACGGAGACGACGGCAGGCAGGGTCGCCGTGGTGGTGATGAGGGTGGGCTGGGCCAGGGTCACAGGGATTGCAGAGTCCCACTTGCTTTTCCTCTTCTGGGCCTCTGCTGTGGAGAGGAAACACGGGGACGTGAGCTCAGGATTTAAAACCGCCAGCTGCACAGGACGAGCTGCACGGCACGATGCCGAGGAAAGGCCCGGTATCACTTCAGGTAAAGGTACCCAGTGGAGTTTTGACCACAAGTAGTGCTATGGAGCAGTGTGTTTAGTTTAGTTTGTGCAGACATGCGCGAGCCAGTCCTGACGTCAGCTTCCAGGCTACTCCGCTGACGGTAGCGGAATTGACCCTTCGCTAAGTCCCGCCCCTCGAACACAGATTGGCCAATCATAGCGTAATATCGGCCAGCTCAAACCAGGGTCTGACATCTATCCGGCTCTGCTCCATAGACTCTCATGCAACGGCCTCAGATTTTCTGCTGCTTAACGTCGTGTAATAGTGATACTCGTTACCCGGACAGTTTGGAAGTTTCTAAAACAGGTAAAAACCTGTGGAGCTAACATTAGCAGAGTATGTTAGCACATCTTTAACTAGCGTTAGCACTTCTATGCTATGCTAGCTACTGATGGTATACTGAATGTCTACACATACAATCATTAAAAAACTAAAGCAGTAACAGTGAAATAAGATCTATTCTGCTTTACAGAAACAGTGTTGTTCCTTCATTTTGTTTTCTTCTGTCTGGATCTCCAGGTGATGTGGAGGTTCACTTTTACACGGTGATCTGTAGCTTTAGCTCCTATCTTTATCGTTTTAACTTGATTTGCTGATGAATACGTTTGACATCCTCGATATATCTTTCAAACCCTTCTGTCGGCTTCTCTCCGAAATTGCTTTTTTGTTTTTTCATGAATGAGATCATATATATTCAGGGAGTGCAGTTCGTGACAGTGTGGGCTCCAAGGTAGCTCTGACAGCTTGACGGAGCTGTAGCGGGGGGAACGGAGATCAGCGAAGGGTCAATAGGGGTAAGAAACGTAGCAATGCACCAACCAAGGCAGCGTGAATAAGACTGCTAGCTAGCAAACATGCTGTTAAACAATGTACAACTATTATTATTTAAATTTTTAATAAAATCAACTTAACTCCACAGGGCCTTAAGTAACATGACTTCATCTTTCTGTATGAGTAATTGCTTTCTGACATTCAAACATAGGTCTCTGTTCCCTAAATGTTGCGTTAAGAGGGTTGTCTGGTAACCGTAGGGTCAACGGTTCGATCCTCGATTGGGACGTGTCACGTGTCCCTGAGCAAGACACTGAACCCCCAGCTCCCCGGGCGCCTATCATTGGCAGCCCACTGCTCCCTATATACAGGGATGGGTCAAATGCATATGTCAAATTTCATGTATGTGTATATGTATATGACAATAAAAAAAATGGTTTCGTTATAAAGACTATTTAATTGTGACAGGATTATTGTGGAGAGAGTTGCAATGCACAAGTGATATTTATATAAATTATACACAATACCAAATAGCCTTGGCATTAAGGCAGAATATAATTTTTAGAATTTTCCTTAAAAAAAATGTATAAACTCATACAAAAAGAATCCCTCTTAATCATCACTTAAGACCCATTAGAAGTGCCTGCACCCTGCCTGTATTTTCTTACTTTGCTGTGTTCGGGATGTTTCTGGGCGTCGGCCTTTATGAAAACCAGCGCCCGAGTGCCAGATTGTCAGCACGCATTCAAGAGGAAGCTACGAAAACGGCAGACGAAGCTCATTTTGTTCCAAATAGTTTTGCCGGCAGATTTTAAAAACCACTTGGTCGTGTGACACAATTGCCGGGACGTTTATGTAGCACGGTGCACTTCTGGAAGGAGCATAATCCGCGAGGCGCTGCGGTCATGGCGGATGTTTACCTGAGGCCGTGGTGGTGGCGGTGCTGCTGGTGGTGGAGGCTGCTGTGCTGGAGGGGTTGGTGCCCTTCTTAGTCCCTGTGACAAACTCAATCTGTGAAAACGCACAGAACGTTAGGCCGCTGATTTAATTACTGGCGCTGCTGGATGTGTGACTGTTTTTTTTTTTTTTTTTTTAAACCAACAACCACAACCTATTGCTGCTTGTCAACTCAAGGGGCACATCATCAGCGACAACGTTTGCAAACGAGGGGGGGGGGGGGGGCGTGAAATGACTCATTCCCTCCGTCTCCGTGTCATTCTCACACAAAATCTCGCTCCTCTGTAGCCTGCACAATGAAGCAGCTCCTGTAGGGTACATGTTCATTCAAGTCCAGTCTCTAAACTAAGGCGCAGGTGCTGGAATGATGCTGCTGATCGTAGCAGTGTGTATCACCTCGGAGTGATTATTCAGCGTAACTACCATAAAGCAAAAATAGCTGGCAAAGAAAGACACACTCAGGTGTTTTTTTGGAAGTGCATTCGTACAGAAAAACAGGCATGGGCACGGCTCGGCTGTAAAGCTGTACCGGGTTGGGCCTGAGCTGCAGCAACGAGAGCTGAACTTGGCAATGCAGTTTTCTGCGTGGGTCTGATGGAGAACGTTAGGTAGGAATTAAGTGCAGCTGGTGGAGACTTGCCCGTGACGCAACAGAGAAGAGATCTGACAGCTATTTTTTGTTTTGTTCTGATAGTCAGACTCACCTTGGTCCGCTCCTTCTTGGCTTTCTCCAGTTTGTCCATCTCCACTTTCTGGGCTTTGGCTGGAAGGATAAGACACAGACACACAGACACACACAGACACACACACGCTTGTTTGTCGAGTTGTGTTCACACGGAGCTGCGAGGAAGAAGTAAAAGTAAAAGCAGCTCACCTAGAGCTTCGTAGTAAGAGTCCTCTGACCAGCCGTGAGGATCAAACATATCTTTCGGGTAGTTCGTTCCCAGTTCATCTATGCTGCAGAACTGGATGAGCTTCTCGTAAATGCTAAAACACAAATAAGACACTTTGTGGTACATTGTTGTGTTGCAGGTGGAGACAATGAGGGAGCTTGTTAAGTGTTTACACCAGAAAGTGTTTCTGGCATCACGTGTACGTAGCATTCCGTGTGTGTGTGTCTTGTTTGGACGTGCGTTTGGATGTGTGTGTTGGTTTGGGTGTGTACTTCAGCTGAGCTGCGTACCTCGGGTTTCTAAATTCTTTCTTTTTCTGGATGTGGTTGTTTGTGTCAAAATCTCCATGGAGCTTCCTCTCGTACAGCTTGTGGATCTTGTCCTGTTGCCAAAAAAAAAAAAAAAAAAAAAAAAAAAAAACAGATCAGCAAAGGACGTGAGCAGACAGTGAGTCGTCATCAACAGCTTCCTCCACACTCTACCAGTGTCAGTGTCACCGGATAAACAAAACTAGATGTGATCAGCTCGAGCTGGAGCGAGGGTCAGTGTGAATGGAGCTAGTGTGTGGAAGGTTTCTGATACCTTTGGAGAAATATTTGACAACCACGTTCCACTGAGCCACAAGGAGCTGGCAGGTGTGGCCGGGACACCAACAGTGATAACTGAGGGCCAACATGGAACAAGATGGAAGACGGGAATGCTGCTCAAAGGAGACGCTTATTACTGCTTCGCCATTGTCTTCCTTAATGAGCGTTTTCTGATCGGCTGAATGATAAATGACATTTTAAACCAAATGAGGATGTTACAAAATAATAGATAGGAGTATTTTTCTAATTTGCCACCACTATGATTTGGTCATGTTAAGGCACCGTCACCATTGTTGGGGCTTCAAAGCTTCAGCGAGAAATATTCTGCCTCTTTCTCTTCACGAGCGTCAAAAGAAACAGATCTCAGTCAGATCTACGGTTTTATTTCGTGGTCACTAAGCTTGAGCTCCGGTTAGTCTGTGCATTTAAACAGCGGTGGGAGGGGAGACGACGAAGACGACGACGACAACACAAGCTGTCCGACTTTCCTCAAACTCGGTCATTATTTACTGATATTGTACTTTACTATGCTATCATTGTCTAATGAGAGACGAGGACAAAAATCGATGCGATGCATGAATCTTGATGCATGAAGCGATGATTCATGCAGAAAGGTGGAATAAACCGCAAGAAACCTATTCGAAGTATGCCTCCGTTCCCCCGTGCCCTCGGGGCAGGGATATCCAGGCTGTTCAGGTGAAGGTGAATCATTAGTTGCTCATCTGATAGGCGGGGGAGTGTCGGCCCCGGCGGGGATCTTGCCGGGCTGTGCGCTTACTAAGTCAGCAGTGTGTCCTGACCTGCCTCCGCTCCTCGGGAGAAGAACAAACCTGGCTGCAGCGAGACACACCGAAAGAGAGCAGCGCTGGGCGACGCTTTAATTGACAGAAGATGACACCGTGTGCTGCTGTAATTACAGGGGGAGAGTCAGAATTTATGTAGCCACCAGACTGCATTTCTAACCCCCGGAGGGAGGCGAGGGGAAACTTCTAAATTTCTCACTTGGAGAACAGGTTATTTTGAGTGCGTCGACGCCAAGAAGACTCAAACGCTCTAAACTTTAACTCGTGACCGCAAACTCCAAACTCTAAACCTTGTGCGGACTCCAAAAGGGGAGAGTGTTTACGGTGTGTCTGCTTATGAAACCAACCAGTGACGAGTCTTCACCCTTCGGTAGTATGAATTTACTAACGGCAAAGTGTTTCTCCAGCACACACAACAAGCCTACAGACATGTTAAAACACAACACTGGGCACGGGGACTATTCCAGCAAGCTTGCAGTGAAAACCCACAAACCCCGGCTACATTCACACGCCCCTCTCTCCTCTGGTCTGATTATCAGACAAATCTGTGGCCGTTAGTGGTGGATATAAAAAGGAGACGGCAGCGTAGTGTGTTCAAGAGAAGAAAAAAAGCGTTTGGCAGTGCTTGAGTCACCATAACAACAGCGGAGGCGTGTTTACCTGTAGTTGGCTCGAACAGCGTCCAGGGGGCTCGGGGGGGATCCGGATCTCGTTGGGTGACATGTTCCTCACCTTCTCCGAGAACAGAGCTGCCAAGAAGAGACAGAAACACAAAACATGAGCACTTGGGCGTTCTCACCTCGGCAGCTTTCCCCTCCACGCGCCGAATAAGAAGCCGTTGTTGTGCTTAAACAAAGTGAAACTGTTTTAGTGTTTGAATTAACAGAAGGTGGGGGGGAATGTGCACTGGAGAGCAAACTCAAGTTAATCAAACAAGGGTTTTCACTGTGTGATAAGCAAACACTACTTGAGGAATTCCTGAGCATCCTTGCTGTTCATTATAATCCTGTGTGTATGTCAGTGGTTCTTTTAGGGCAGGGTATGAGGAGTGAACGTTCGTGGCCAGGGAGTGGCAGTTGTTTGGGCTTGTGAGGAGAAGGGAGGCTCCCCTCCCTCCTCCCCTCTGGACCAGTCTCTTGTTTTGCTCTCCCTGCTCGACTTGCCTCACTCTGCTTTCTCTGACTGCGGGCCAGGCATTCTTCAGTGTCACCCTACATCCCAATCAGACACAGAGTCTTCACAGTCGTTCAGCAGCCGTCAATCACGCTCTGAATAAGTGCTGCAAGCTGCGTGCTGTGTGTGTGTGTTTTAACGCAGGAGCTTGGCCCTGCTGATGTTCTGCGCGGATCGTCAACAAGTCGAAACTTGCCGCAAGTACATAATTTTCTGTCTTTTAGCTTAGCCTTGCTGAACACTTTATCATAAAAAACACAAGAGGAACATTCCAGTCACGTACTCTTACACTTTAAGTGGAGTATCAGCAAGCTGGCTGTGAGGTGTCCAGGAGGTGTTTTCTTGTTTGGGGATGAACAATACTGATATCAATAATTGAGAATTTTGATATATTTTCTTAGGAGCCTGTAAAATTGGCCTTTTAATAAGAACTATTTTAGCGCCCGTTCAAAACATGCCTACACGGTGTAACAGCTAACATCGTAGCGAGCGAGCAGTACCCAGCATGCCCCGAGGGGTCCCCTATTAAACTACAGTGTGTATAGAACGCAACATTAATAAATATGTCCCATAGATCTCGCTCACGCTAACATACTGATGCCTAGAAGTTAGCGTTTACCAAGTTAAACATCTTAGCTTAGCATGTTAGCGCTAAAGGCAAAGTGCAGCTGAGGCTGATGGGGATGTCATTGGTTCTGCAGGTATTTGCCGCACAAAATCCAACAGCTGCTGAGATAGCATAGCTAAAAATAAACACTACGGACTTTCAAAATGACCGTAAACGCATCTTATCAGCAGACATATACGCAGATATGACATATCTGTAAGAAGCTAATATTGTCAATTACATGACACGAGTATCGTCAAACTGTCACGCACCGAAGGCCGTCATCGAATGTCTGGACAAATTAGTAATGGCGTTTACTTCGTTGATCAGATAGTTCCCGCTCAAGTTGTACGGCTACTTGTGTTTCAGCAATAATGGAGAAATTTGGCTGATTTGTAGAAAAGGATTTGGTAGAAAACAAAGAAAGATATCGTTAAAATTTTAAAAGTTACCCAGCTCTACCCACTGACAATGTCTTTGAACTGCATTGGCACTTTTGCTACGGTTGACGGACTGCAGTCCGTCTCTCTGTGCTGGCTACAATCTGTCCGCTGACATAAACACTGCTGGTCCTCAGCGGCGCCGTCCCACACCGACGCTCTCTTTCCAGCAGTCCCTCCCTTCGGTATCTTTCCCCTCGGTCCTCTGACCGTGTGTGGGACCACAGATCCACACGACCTGCCGCCCTGACCTTTCTTTTACTATGTCTGGAAAGGTCATGGAGGAGCACCCTCTTCCATTAGCTTCACAGCTGGTATGGCTATGGTTTGCGAGGAGCAGGGCGTTGCCTTTGTTGGCGAGTCCCATCAAGTCATGCCAAGCATGCATGCATGCATGCTTGTATGCATGCATGCTTGGCATGCATGTATGCATGTATGTATGTATGTAGGTTCGCACACATTTTTTGACAGCAAAATCATGAAGATAAATGGTTCCGTGCATCCAAGTAGTTTAAAGAACCCATATTTTAAAGCACAGAATATACTGCGGCCTCCAACGATAAAAAGCTTGACAAGGCAAGTCTGGTGAGTCAGAGGCATTAGGTGTGAGCTTGGTATATCAGCTAACTCTCTCACAGACAATTACACACTGTAGCTGCAACAGGCGGCTCAGCATTGTTGAAGCCCGCTAATCTGCTCTAGACATCAGGAGATTTAGTGGATCATTTTAGAGCCTTCATGGACAAACTCTAATTTAAACACCAGAATAAACTCTGGGGCCTCCACAGTAGCAAAGGAAGTGTGAATAAATCACAGCTCGTGTGCGATAAACATCCCCGTTTATAATTCGGATCAGTGTGAGAGGAACGTCCTCATGTAACAGCAGAGCTGACAGGAAGGACGTGGAGACACAGAGCAATAAACAGACAGAGAATCGCCATCTGTCCTCGTGAAAAAAAACTGACAGAAAGTCACAGCTTGTGCCCCGAGGGCTCTTTTGGGACAGACGGACAATGTCTTCAGTGAACGGACAAAGAGCCGTCTTCAGCCTGCTGATGGGAGGCCTTTTGCCAGACCCACTGTGACATTTACTGACAGACGACACAGAGGAGCCAAGCTGCGCTGCAGTAATGTGAAGTGTCTGGGCCGGGAGTCACAGCCAATGGTGGCCGTTTGAAAACTAAAAATTGCTCCGGAGCGTTTCCCCTTTTCCTACGAGACTTCTTTTTATGGCTGCAACAAACCGGAGGAGTGGAAGTGGTGATGATCCATGGGCAGAAGCCACCAAGTTCACTCGGCTACTGCCGTCCTGCCAGCTGGGAGCGTGTCGGGAGTCCAAGAGGAAGGCTTCTTACTAAAGTACACTTTTAGAACACACCAGCAGCGCTCAAGAATGCAAAAAGCTGTGACAATCTCCCCTTTTGTGCAGTTTTAGAACAAACTAGTTGCATTAATCATCTCCTACTTGGATTAATTCAGGCATTCCCTTTCAAAATAAAACCATTTCTCTATGGGGTTCAATCAGCAGTCATATTATTTTGATTATTCTACTCAGGTCTCCACTCTCATTGCAACACATCGTTACATGTTTAGTTGTCTGGTGTTATTTTGCAGTGACATGACGGATGAGGATGAGTGCAGCATTGTGTAATCTGTGCATCTAGCTCCAGGCTCGTATAAACAAACAGCAGTGTGGGCCGTTCGTGGCTTTTCTCGGACCGGTGTGTGAAAAGCTGCTCCCTGTATCACTCATATCCTGTCTGATCTGATGCCCACTGAACACACCTGTACAGGTCAGCCATTACTCACTAACCGTGGGTCATAACCCACCTGTCAGTCAGTGGACAAAGAGGCTTTGATAACTCACCCGGGTCTAGTTAGTGATTCATACGTTCAGTGCACCAACACCCAACTGGCACAATAAAATGTAAAAGTCTGGTTCTTACGGCGTGCACTAGGTCTGTATTATTATACATGCATACCGATCCAGAAGCGGGCGTCATTCTGTGTGGTTCTTATTGTCATCAATGACTAAAGGCTCAGTCATTTCCTAAAACAGCTGGGCACTGTAAACACTGTAAACTTCACTAAAACAAGAATAAACAGGGCATTTATTGGGACTATTTTCTGCTGCAAATGAATACAATGTTTCTGCAGGGCGTTCAAAGTTAAATTTAGGACTGTTCAACACTTTTTTATTACCATATAGAATGAAAACGTTTCAGGATGATACTGGCAAAATATAATAAAGTATGATGGAAAATCAGTAGGGGCCTAGAATTATTTATTATTATGTCACATTGTACAGAACTTTCCAGCAGTAATAATTCTTAATCATAGAATTCATGAAGTGAATGTGACCCCGGAGGCAAGCAGCTAGCAGTAGTAACAGTGTTACCGGTTTAATGCTGCCTTCACAATCCACTGTTGAAATAATACATTTTAGTATTATTTAGTTAATTGGTGTGTAATACCTCCTGACAGCCCGCAATCAGACACACAAACATGCGATACCTTCGGGGCCGGACACATGTCTGTATTTCTGTGAAGTGGGCAATGAACACATGGCCTCAACTGTACGATCAGCTAAGCAACATCAGGAGCAACCTGCCTCTGCACCCTTTAAAGTGGCCTCGTATTTTACTAGGACGGTAAAAGTCGCTTTACATTACTGCCTATGGTAGGCAAGAGGCAATACGAACACTTGTTTAAACATTATATATAATACTTAAAGACTTTTAATACCTTCCGAGGCCTTTTTAGGAGAGACTTTTCAAGACCTGCCCATCTTCATATTAATAAAGGTTGAGCCAGGTGCGTTCACACCAAACGCGGCACGAATTGTTCGTGCGAGTAGATCACATACAAATTCTATGTCAATGGAATTTGCAATGGCGCGGCGCGAATTTGTGTCAAACGCCAAAACGCCCCAAATGCGTGAGTTGAAATTTTTCAACTTCGGCGCGATAGCCTATCAGCGTTGAGATGTTTCTCCTGTCATCACTGACGTCCTGCCGTTGTTGAATCAGGAAATAAATACTGTAGCCGTCTGTGTTCACCCAGAGCTCTACGATACCTCATATCAATAGAGACCGGCCCAAACTATGTATAAATGTGTGTGTGTAAACCATATGGTACAAACAATGAAAAAGACGCTGCCGTATTTACGTCTAGATGACGTTATTGTGAGTGTTGATGGAGCTGCTACAATGTTAGCTTAGCCTAGCACCGATCGATCCGAGCTTCATTGAGAAAACAAGTATTTTAAAAGTTATTTGCTCATCGTCTTGCGGAGAGAACTAACAAAACATGAATTCAGACTTTTTACAAATCGGCATCATTACGTAGTTATTTCGGAGTCCCTTTTTGTCGGTTTATTGCAGTTAAAGCACAGCTAAATCTGTTTATTTTGGGTCCATACAGCTGTAGTAAACAGCCGACGTGTGGCTTGCTAGACAGTGAATACACTTCGATAAAATCCACGGAGCTCCTCTGGACAATGTTATGAACCAGACATGACAGCGTTTAGTTTCCCGTGATATCTGGGACTTCCGCAACACGTACTAAGCACACACTTTTTCAAAAATATTTCAAACTGCATGACCACTGATCTTTTACAAATTGTAAACACATCCCTTCTCCCAGGTGTCTTCCCACAAGCCCTAAAAACTGCAGTTATTAAACCGCTCCTAAAGAAGGCTAGTTTAGACTCCGCAACAATGAAAAATTATAGGCCAATATCAAACCTCCCATTTTTAAGTAAAATAATTGAAAAAGCGGTTTTCCAACAGCTGAACAATTCTTGGCCGTAAATAACTGCTTTGATGTCTTCCAGTCAGGCTTTCGACAGCACCACAGTACTGAAACTGCTCTTGTTAAGGTTTTCAACGACATCCACTTAAACACAGACAATGGCAGAAGTTCAGTCTTAGTATTACTGGATGTCGGTGCTGCATTCGACACGGTCGACTATGCCATACTCCTAGAAAGACTAAAAATCTGGGTGGGACTTTCTGGCACAGCACTTAACTGGTTTGAATCCTACTTGAAGGACCGAGAATACTTTGTGTCTGTAGCTAATTACACATCAGAGCTGACTAAAATGACACGTGGTGTTCCCCAAGGTTCAATACTGGGGCCTCTTCTTTTCAACATCTACACGCTTCCACTAGCTCAGATTATGGAAAACAACAAAGTGTGTTATCATAACTATGCAGACGACACACAAATCTACATAACTATGTCACCAGGGGACTATAATCCCATACAAGGGCTGGGTAACTGCATTCAACAAATCAACAACTGGATGTGCTAGAATTTTCTTCAATTAAACAAAGATAAAACCGAAGTAATTGTTTTTGGTACCAAGGACGAACGATTGAAAATCACCGCTCAGCTTCAATCACTGATGTTAAAACCCACAAACCAAGCCAGAAATCTAGGTGTAGTTATGGATTCAGACCTCAACCTGAACAGCCATATCAAGACAATTACAAAATCAGCCTACTATCACCTGAAGAATATATCAAGGATCACTCTGATTGTCTCAACAGGATTTGGAAAAACTTGTCCATGCATTTATCTTCAGTAGACTGGACTACTGTAACGGTGTTTACACAGGTCTCTGTAAAAAGTCTGTCAGAAAGCTGCAGCTGATTCAGAACACTGCAGCTCAAGTCCTCACTAAGACCAGGAGGGTGGATCACATTACTCCAGTTCTGAGGTCTTTGCACTGGCTTCCTGTCAAACAAAGAATTAACTTTAAAATCCTGCTGTTGGTTTATGAAGCACTGAATGGTTTAGGGCCAAAATACATCTCTGATCTGCTGGTACCTTATGAACCATCCCGACCCCTTAGGTTGTCTGGGACTGGTCTACTTTCTGTTCCCAGAGTCAGAACTAAACACGGAGAAGCAGCGTTCAGTTTTTCTGCTCCACATATCTGGAACAAAGTCCCAGAAAGCTGCAGGTCTGCTGAGACCCTCAGCTCCTTTAAATGTAGATTGAAGACTTTTCTGTTTGCTGCTGCCTTTAATTGAACCACATTCAATTAATATATTAATCAATTTCCTGCATTTTACTACTGTATTTTATTTCTTACACTGTTTTTGTTGTTTCAATGAATGTTCTTAATTGTTTTTAAATCTCCTTTTCTTTTGTCTTATATTTTGATGCTTTTAATGGTTTGATGTGAAGCACTTTGAATTACCTTGTTGTTGAAATGTGCTATACAAATAAACTTGCCTAAGCAGAAATAGGTTATTTTTTCCATGGTTGATGTCGGACAGTTGAACGGATTTCAGGGCGATAAGCCACGCCCCCTCTCAAGCGCGTCCAGCGCGATTCACGCGAATGAACACAAATGGTCCCCGGCGAGACTGGCAGCGCGAATAATTCGCTGCGTTTGGTGTGAACATGGCAAGGTTAGGAGTTGGTCAAATGTATGTGTGTGTGTGAACTCACCAACTAGCTCATTGGGGTCCTTTCTTTCTACTTCTGGGATCTGTAAAAAGAAAAGAAGAAGAGTGAAGAAGAGAGAAAGAGAGATACATGGGGTATTTAAATCTCTTTTGAAAAAGGAGAATGTGATCATCAACAGCACCAGTGGAAGAGATTATCAAACCATGTTCCCAGCTTGGATATAGTGGTGGATTACAAGTGGGTTGGTGAGGTGAACTGGCCGTTCTTGTGAAAGATGTGGAACTGGAAACAAAAGCTCATTCCATAAGTACCTGAGTCCTACAAATCACAGATGCTAAATGCAATAGACTGCACCGAATGGAAGCCGACGGGTGAACAGTTTCTAAGAAGTAGTAGAAACCAGAAGAGTAAATCTAGGCAGCTTCCAGTGAATGCCTGAGCTCGGCAGCAGGAGGAGGAGTCCTGTACAGCAGAAATATGCCGCCTGTTGTGCCAGCTCTGTGGGCAAAACACAGGTTCAGCACAAAGGAACAGGGCTGGTATTCACGGGCATCATGTCGTCACTTAGCAACCGCATGGGCACATTAAAGAATTGTCCTGAAAATCACGAGGAGGAGGAGGAGAGAAAGACAGCGGAGCACGCTGGCAGAAATCCAAACCAAAAACTAAAATAAAACGAGCCAATAAGATACTCTTCAGTTCACTGATCCACAGCTGAAGGAGGGTCAAGAGGTCACATTAAGCTATAAACCCGCAGCACTGGACCTGCTGTGATTCACTGGGGGTTTTAATAAAGAATTTAAACTTAGCCTTAACCAACACCGACCCATGTCAGGGATAAGTTAAGAGCAGCGTTATGAGGATCGACTCGCTTCCCTGTAAACTGCACATCTTGATCTGAATATGTTCGCGGTCAATGGCAGTGACAACAAATGAGTTTAGCTGTTCTTCTGAGTGCCTAATTGTTGACAACATTTGAAAAATTAAATGAAATCTTTATTGAGACTTAGACAAGAAGCTTTGATTGTACATTGGAGCTGAGAAGACCTCATACAAATAAATAACACTAATCAAGGTTATAATCTCTTTTATTGAAACAACTCAAAGGAAGCACAAACAGAAAGTTACAACAGAACGCTTTCTTGCCGCTTTCCTGCCATTGTATTGGATTTGAAAGCAGCGGGCATTTAATAGGTGGTGAGGGTCTAATGAATGATGCTTCATGGGAAACGTAGGATGTGGTATTTTTGAGCTCGACTCACACTAAGGCCAAACGGTACCCCTTTAAACATGCTATGACACAGAATTACCACTTATTTCCTAATTACAGAACTATAAGAGCATCCCAGACTTAGTCAGTGGGTGCTACATGAAGAGTAGACGGATGCAAACGTAGAACCTCACACATGCTTCCATTTATTTTCTATTAAAAAAAAAATAAAGGTAGCTCAGACTTTTATCCAGGATAAAAACCCGTCTTGCTCAAACGAGATGATTCTACAGCTTTGAGTTCAATGCTAACAAAGTCATGCTAACACGCCCACGGGGACAACATGCTGATGTCATATTTACCAGCTTCAGCAGCATTAAACACGTAGTAAAGTTACGGTCAGTTATGTAGTAATTTGGTCGTATACTAGGCATGACAGCGCTATACCAAAGGTTAAGGGATCCTTAAAGTTATATTCTATAAAGCTTTAATATCTGATTCCTCAGCAATCCATCCAAGAGTTGTCAAGATATTTCACTCTGAAACAACAATGTAAAACTGCTGGTGGTGCTAGAGGAAGAGTCGGTGATCAGAATTGATCGTCTACTTCGGATCGTGAACGTCTAATCGAAACATCATGCCAGTCCATCCAAAAGATGTTTCACTCTGGATCAAAGGTGTGGACCGACGCCTGGCAATGGACACAGGAGCTCTGAAGCTCAGGTTAAAGGGAGACCTCCCTAGTGCTCACTATGATGCCCTGCTGCCCAACTACATCGAAAAGACAAACACTTCACAAAGAGCCCTGAGATCACAGACAATTCCCTCAACGTAAGTGTTATAACCAAGCAAACAGAAACCCTTCCAACACCCCATAAATAATGTATGAGCAGCAAAGCTCTTCCCCAGAGGAACCGGGCAGAGGGCCATAGACACATTTCAGAGATTTCATGAGAATCCATTGGCTCTGGTTAAAGGAGATCAAAGTATTGTGAGGTGACCTTCTTATCTGCAGTTAGCCAGAACTGTATCAACACACCAACTGCCATTCAGAGCCAATAGATAACATAGATAAGAAAATACAGAGGAAAGACAGAATGAGAGCTGATATAAACATTCTCTCTCATTCTGTCAACTAATACATCAGAATCTGAGCCAAAGCTAAACAGCATCGTGTTATTCTGCTGCTACAGGCTGCAAATTAAATCATATATCAAGATATTATTATTGGGCCTGTCACAATAATTACGTTTTAGACTTATCATACGATATATGGATAGGACAGTGATCACTTTTGCTGACCTCGATATTGCCCATTGCGTTGACATAAGAATGTCACAGACATTAGCCAGCATGCTGCCAGAATAAACAGCAGGGTTCCCCTCCCATTACAACACTCGGGCATTTTCATGAACAAAGCCATGGAGTCCATTTCATTCATTGTTTTGGTTGTGTGGATTTATTTGCTTTCTGTTTAATTTCTTTAGAATATTTCAATATTTGTGTTCACATTCCAATGTCTGAAGATTCTTAGAAACGTCACTGCTCTCAGGGTAAACTTGCATTATTAAGCTATTATATCACCGGTATCAGTGGCATGAAATAGTGATACACAATCATGTCTAAATTGATAACATTTTGGACTAAAGTTCTTGATTAAATGAGAAGACATGCTATATCATGATATACATCGTTAGATATTAAATGACCTATGTCTAGATGGGAGATTTTTGCCATATCAGCTACAATACACACCACACCTGTCAGTCAACCTGTGGGCTGAATAAAAACCTAGTAATTAAATTATTGAATATCATTTCTTCAAATTAAACCACATTGCTTCCATTACTTCCCTTGAACTGTTGTTTCTCTTTCATGAGAATAAAGCTCCACATGGCCAGTCCTGTACTGTTGGGAAATCACATCATGACACACAGTGTCACAATAACACAAAATCCGTGCATTGCCAGCGCTGTTATCTCGGCGGCATAATGAAGAGACAAAACTCTCCCAAACCCGCAGCTTATCACATTATTATCTCACAGAGTAGACGTCGTCTGACTTGTATTGTTTCCGCTTGTTGGGTTTGTGACTCACTCTCACTGACCTGCACCAAACAGTGCATGCAGGAAGCTCACATGGCTTTACAACAAACACACACACACACACACACACACACACACACACACACACACACACA